ACAAACTGAGACCGAAAGTGTTTGTGCTTTTAATGAGTTTTGTGTTTTATCTTGTCCTTACTGATTTAATCACTTTTAATTATAATAATAAGGATAAGGACAGAAAGAGGACACATGTTAGGAAATTGTAACTTTGTAAATACTAGATTTATAATGCGAGAGGATGAGGAACTTTTTGTGAGAGTTGATGTGAGAAGCAATTTCATTGCTTGAGATGGATCAGGTGATCAAGTGATAAAGGTATAAAAGGGAGCGGGAAAGATGTTCATGTCAGACAATCTTGTAGCTTTGGCCACGAGAGTATTTATTCTTAGACTTGCACTACTATAGCTTTATCCAAGGGAGATAACTTCTACGGAGATAATTACTACTGTTAGGTATGCAGATAGTTGATTACTGACAATACTGTCAAAAATAGATTAGTAGTACTATACTGTAGTACTAGGCTAATACTGTACTACCGTTACCATAATGCTAGTGTAAAGTAACTGCTACAGATATTGTATCAAATGTTAAGTCTATTTTCTTGTTAAACGTCACAAGTTATTCTATAATCTGAAGTTATTAAGTACATTATTGTCTCCCACCACACTGACCTATGACAGTATGAGAGCATGATGCTAGGAAGAGAGAGTTGCAGCACCCCTGTACAAATGTATGATTGATGAAATTGATGTGTTATAAAAACAAGTGAACTGTTTTTATTGTGTTTGTGAACTCTAATTGATGACCACAGAAGACCAAAGCCAGGCCTGCTACAATAATATTCTGTACGCTAGTGTAAACTTGTACATCTTTTTTGTGGATATGTAACTTAATTAAGACGCTAGTCGGTCAAACAAATGGTGTATATTTTTCGTCATTAACGTAACGCTAATACAAATTCGATGCTTTCACAGTTTACTGTATGCATATTATGTCAAATGTTAATCCTTTACGTACACATGTATTCAAAACAATTGTTATCCTTAGAAGCAAAGTTTTCTGAAGAGGAGCAAACGGCTGTTAGATCCAAAACCATTCTATTTGACTTCCAACTACTGCAAATCAGTGTTTTTTTTAAACATTTTTGATAATTCAATAAATCAGCGTTTGTTATAACATTCTTTAAAATGGATACTGAGAGTGTCGAATTTGACTTAGGATATAGATATATGTATATATTATGTAAATATAAATATATATAGCAATGATTTCATTTTTAATATCTAGATCATATGATGTCATTAATAATGTTTTTCCTCAATGTCAATACCGTATCCTTCCTTCAGTTTCTTATAATGACTGTCTTATCTAACCTTACTTTTATCTTATGCGTTTCTCTTTGCACTATTTTCTTTCCTATATCTTACCTGTATCTACATATGATATAATTTCCAACTTATGTCATATTCTTGTATAATACATGTACACTGTATAGATGCACTGCTATATATATAGCTTTGAAGTTTACCTCCAACCCTGCCCGACAAACTCCGCCGATATGTGGTCGGACGGGATTGACTAGATATGCCGTTGTGATTAGTCCGTGTACGGATTGGCTTACACAGTCAGCATATCAATCAATAGCAGGGAGGCTGCCTATTTTTCTACTCCAGATGTTGTATGTATCAATTTATTCTTGACCATTGTACTTAACTCATTACCGATTGTCGTACTTTTTTCAATTTAATATTTTACACCTGGACAGATTCACCATGCCAGGCTGCGTATGAAATGCAGTTTACTAAATGACCACCTGTTCACAAACATCTAGTTGAGAGCCCACGCTGTTCTTTTCATGAGGCAAGCGAAACAAGTGAACGTATATTTATATATTACTTTGTCGAAATTGTGAACGTACTAGACAAGTAAGTTTTGCATCTATCCAAGATCAGCTTTCTGTTAAAGTGAAAGCTGTTTGGTGACAACAATCTATCTTAAATGTACAAAATAAAAATATATTTTAATATGGACAAGGTTTCATTATTAAAAGGATGCACGGTAGGCTTGTGGTAGGACGCCGGGCTCGTGACCAAAGGGTTTGTCGTATTTTGACTTATCGATTAGTTTGGCCTGTTAAGCCATTTAGTAATTATTGACTGTACTTACCTGGGGCAATCCGGGCATTGTAAAATGATGGCTGATTAAAACCTGACTTGAAGCAAAGGTCTTTAGTTTTCATTGGAGTATGAGAACACAACAGGGTTGCGAGTTCGAGTCACGGCATGCATGACACGGCACTGTGTTGTATCTTTGAGCAAGATATTTTACTCCGCTTGATCCAGTCTACTCAGCTGTAAATGAGTGCGTGGTTGGGCAGCGCTAGAATTGTTGAATGCTAGCTGTTAGCGCCGAAATGGCAGCACCGGCTGTATGCTCCCCAGGGAGTTGAGCAAGATATTGGCTTGTTGCAAAGGCCCTGTAACCACTGATAATAATTTTGAACCACTTTGAGACGACCTACGAACTAGGTTGTGATAAAGCGGTATATAAGAACCTCGAATTATTATTCTTATTAAATCGAAGCGATTTGTATTTATTTCACATGCAAACTCCTGTTTACGTGTTGCATTGTATTGTTTAAATAGCAAATGATTTAGCGTTGGTACCTCTCTAATTATGTAAATTGTACCTACTTTTGTTGTGGTACACTATTAGTTTATTTCCTTCTGAATATGACATCAGTCTCAAACCTTTCTTTTCCTCTTCCTCTCACCCCTATCTTTACATTCTTCTACTTCTACTCGTTATTGAAACATGTTTTGTTACCATTTGCTTGTTGTCCATATAATTTCTATTTAGGAAACAGATTATAATAATTTTTCAAAATTTGTTTCTGAATCCTTTTTCATTGTCAAATTAATAAAATACATGCAATACATTTGTATAAACATGCGATAAAATGAAGTTTATACTAAAATTGTGGGTGTGTTTCCCCTACTTTTGATGATTGTTCTAATCGGACGCGCCGGCCTATGTAATTTTGGATGAAAGGCCTTTGAGCATCCATTAGATATTGGGTGACCCGACAAACGTTTGTAATATTTTAGGAAATGTTTACCCCTGTAATCAGTTAAAATCGCGAAGCAAATGTTTCACTAAGATTGATTTTTTGTACTGTTTCTTCTACTTAGAAGATGACACAATAATTGTTTTTTTAAGCTTTAAGTAAGTTCCTCTCTTAAGATTTTCATGTGCTTTGTGGCCAATAGATTGGAAACCCATTTTGATGTTTTGGTGATGTGTAATTGTGTAGACTTTGTAAACGAGTTCAATCCCTGCCGTTTTCTCTCTCTCTTTTTTTTTATATCAATATTTAACAAAACATTCAATTTTTGAACAACCACAGTTCAGTCAAATGCATGATAACGTGTGATTTTCATTAAAAATTAAATATTTCGAAAGATTTTAAACGATTGTTTCGGAATAGTTACAGTGGCAAATTGTTGTTACCCTTTACCATTATCCATGTGTGAAACTTAGCTTTATGTTACCATATACTAACGTGTAAATATAAACAGCTTTTAGAGATTTGTTAAATACCCTGTCACAAACTCTTTTGAAATGAACACTCACATGGCTCACAATCTAGGTGGAAAGAAATTATATTATGCAATAAAACTTAAGTTAGCTGTGTCCAATATTTTTCGAAAAATATCTCGATCTCTTCTTTGTCCCATCTCTTACCTACAATTCTTTCTTGTCATATGTATATTTAAGTAGCTCTAACATTGCGTGATATGTATTGTAATCAATTAATTTGTGTCGAAGAGAACTTCAATAAGTTGGCAAAACTTGTGTCCAATTCGTTTGTAACATCTGTTATTTGCAATAAAATATGTTTAAATCTAATCACAAAATCTTTTACTCCAAAGGTAGACAAGCGTTAACGTTGGTCCTATAGCTTTGACCAATGGTCATTAAAATATAATAAAGAGAATATCTATATTTGCTTCTTTATTATGGGTTGAATACATTTGTATAAGCTCAACCTGTTGAGGATTTGTGAGATATCTAGAACGCAAGTGTTTTACTTCAAAATATGACATTCAATCATTTAAACCTGACCGATAAATATCGAACTCTCGTCAAGTGTAGAGCTTTATGATACTTTGTATGCTATGGCGTAAATATAAACTAAATCTGTTTGTGGAATTGTGATGTATCTGCAAAAATAAAAATAAATCTGAAATAAACATTACATATTCGGACCAATGGTAAAACATACATACATCATAATGATTCTTCCAGTACTTCTTCAAAAAAAATAGCAATAACAAAACCTGAACTGTCAAGATCAAAGATGGCAGCCTGAAAACTATATTTTGATTTTCGATCAGAATCGAAACATAACATGCATGAATCGGGACTTACAGTAACCCATGAATGAGCTTCGATAAATAACTGTTAAGATTTTTTTTCAGAAATAGTGATAACCCTCGACTGTCAAAATCTATATATGATGTCGAAAACTGTAAAAATAATTTCATTGGAAGATGTTATTAAAAAGCACTAAAATCAATCACAAAATGTTTATCAATATATCAATACACATTTCGAAAGTATTTCGAGGAATGGGCCAATGTTATGGTGAAACGTCTTGCCGCCGTCTAGTCCGAATTATTCTGACGTTTTATCGACTTTTTTCATATCGGTCTGTCGTTAATCGACGACAGACCGATGTGAAAAAGTCGATAAAACGTCAGAATAATTCGGACTAGCCGCCGTCATGCAATGCTTGTTAAATTCTGATTTGTCAAAAAAAAATCGATGTATCTATAAGTGTTAACCATTTCATTATATGCATGTGTCCAAATCAGTTGTAAGGAATTTATATGCAGAATTTAAAAAAATAATATTAAAAGGTTTTAAAACATCATAAACATTTTATAAACTCCTTTAATGTACATGACATCAGTGTGCACGTGCGAGACACGTCAAGGGGAGACAATTATGTCAAAACTTTTCACATGTAATGTGTTCTTACTCGAACTCACCTTACAAGCGTTTGTGTGATCACAATTGCGGCAAATTAAAATGGCAGCATCCGCCGATCACAGGAACCCCCCATCACAACAACAGCAGCAGCAATTAACAGATTCGGATCCGGTTCATCGAGTAAAATTCCTCATGCCACGGTTAAAGGAATCACTTGCGGTAGGCCTAATACATAATGGATCTGTATTTAGCAGATGGGGGTGGGGTGGGGGGGTGGGGTGCAGGATTGTCGGTCGCCAAAAGTAATGTCTTGATATGTAAACGCAAATAGGAACAATCAAGTTAATAATAATTGTAATAATAAAAGTATCTCACTGTTATTGTTAATTATTGACAGAATTCCAGATTCCTGTAGTTATTAATTACTTAAACATTGCTGTCCCGAAAACCAATGATATTATAAACATTGAGACCTGAGTAGGATTTGATAAATTTCAAAGTCTTCTAAAATATGGATACATCTGCATTGTATTGCTATACAATGTAATAAGCATGCAATTATATATACATATATTTGAGTAATAATGTTCCATAAATATGAATCTGATGCTTTCTATTTTTCTTGAGGTGTTGAAAGATAATATTTTATTTATTAATGTATTATTCTACAATTATGATTTGAATAATACAAAACTCTTTTCTTTACAGAATTTAATCAAAGTAGCAGGCCAGTCTCTACGTCAGAATGCTTTGACAGATGATGGATTGTAAGTGTGTCTTTATGGTACTAGAGACAATACAAAATGTCCAAGATACTTTTTTCTCTTTGTGTAATTAATTAACCAGGTTTTCAGACAGTCCATGCAAATTTTCTTACCAGACTTTCGGTCAGGTAACTGTCCCAAGCTTGCCGAACCGGAACAACTTTTAAAGTGCATTTCGATCAGGTTAGCTTGAAATACTTACTAGTCCAAAGAAAATGAAAAAATAGACTAACAAAAATTAAATGAAAATGATAAACAGGTTTTGGTTTTTGCAGTGGTTTGCCGGGTTTTGCCCCAGTCATGTAACAAAGCATTATTCTTCACTCCATCAATGTCATTTAACAGAGGCATTTAAAATGCTCAAGTGACATGACTTTGAGGTAGAAAACATTTGCCGGACATTTGGTCCGGAATTACAATAGTGATCGTCGGACCGGCAGTAATTTTTACCGGAGATATCCATCGGACCGCCATCTTTCCCATGGACTGGTATCCTCTATATATAATTCTTCTTCTTTTGCGTTATTGGTTTATTTCATTCCATGTCTTTTTCCAGACGTCCTGCTGACAGTCAACAACTAAAGTTTGAGAAAAGCCTTGAGGAGTTTTATTCCCTTTGTGACCAGATAGAGTCAAACTTGGTATGTAGTTATATACCTTTAAGTATTAATGAATGTGTTTGTAGTGTTATTCTTTACCTGGAAATGGAAAAGACAGATATAGATTTTAAGGTTAATGGTAGAATATAACAATATGGTGGCAGATTTAAAGGGGAGTCTATATCTGCAATTTTTCCTTGGGTGGTGGGATGGCGCAGTGGATATAGCACACTTGCCTTTCACCAAGGCGGTCTGGGTTCGATTCCCCGATAAGAGGTGAAAAGGTATGGGGTCACCTGCCTGACCAGTGCACTCCGGTTTCCTCACACATAAAGACCCACCGTGCGCTAACATACGGGCCGACGAGTGATTTATATAAGTTGAAATAACTTGTTTCATAGTTGTTGTTAAATGAATAAAGATTATATTTACATAATCATTCATAGATTCAATCAGCTTAAAACGTATAGGTGTGTACTTCCTATTATCGAATACACTTCCAGGATTAAAGTGTAGGTTAGTTTGAAGTAGTTGTTTTACTGCTCAGAAAAGAAATTGTTAATGGATGTCCTTAGATATTTTTGTGTGTCTGTCCTCCATGATGATAGTTTCCAGGTAAGAGGTCCTTCAAGGTTGTTTTTTCTTGCAGATTTATTAAACTTTAATTTTTGATTTTATAACTAGTTCTTAGTTCCTTACATTGGTCACACTGCACTATTAAAATTTCAAAAAGTTTATGTTCAACATTTTCCGCACAAATGCCATAATTAGGTCATAATCAATGTCATGAGTTGTTTACACAGCTTTCTGTTACAAACTTGGATTTAACAATAGTGAAAAGAAGAAAATGGTATGAGTGATTTCTCTGAAGGATTCAAGCTTTCGTGTTTTTATATATATATTTTTTAATTGAAAGAAAAGGATCTATCAGGCTTTCTCAGTGTTAGGTCTAGCTGTCTCTAAAAATTAATGGTTTAACGTGCAAAACATCTCCAAACAAAAATAAATTTATCTACAGCATATATATCCATAAAACAATTAGTATGAATTCTAAATTGCAAGTTAAAAATAGGAGCCAGCTTGTTAATATGTTGTGCATATATTTGATATTGGTTTCAGAGACTTGCCTTGGAAATTCATCAGCAGAACACTGACAGCCAGAAGTTTATCCCGTTCACAGTTAATGTGCCGAAGGAAAACAACCAGTGGCCGGAAACCCCCAGTGCCGTCCCGTACACACAGTTCATCTCTATGGTCAGACAACAAATCAGCTGTGCTAAGGAAATTCACGATCTCCTCATGGAATGCTCAAAGAAAATTTCTGATTGAATGCAGGCCACTATTCTGGCTGGTATTCCAGAAGAAGAATATGGGAATCTCAAGGCCTGGTTTTAGCATAAAACTAAAACAAAAAGCTTGTATGTTAGATGCTAAAGATACTGATCTTTGAAAGAAGTTAAGCAAAAGTGCGAAATGATTGACTGTCTTGAAACCAATCATGCGCAATAACTTTCAAGTGATCATGAAGGTCAAAGACCTCGGCCTTTGCTCAAGATTAGATCAAATGTAATACATCAAATGATGCTGGTGTTTTCTTGTTGTCTACAGTATTTACATATATATACATGTATTCGGTTTTCTGAAACAAAATTTAGATGTTGTAACAATTGCTAGGTGGTGACTAGAAGAAAGCAGAACACTTTTGTGATTTGTTTAAGTGAGATCTAGAGTTTAAACAATGATAATAATGTGTTCCAATCATCCGAGCATTTAAAGTAACAAGTCACTAAAAATATTAATGTTGAACAGTAGTGAATGTAAATTGTTCAGTTAGCTCCCTTCCATCACCTTTATTTTGGGGGAAAGTTGAGGGAAAACATACTGAAGCTTGGATTAACTCATTCACCCCTGAAAACACGTTTGAACTCTCCCATTACAAAGGTTGGAATAATAGTTCATTGTGAAGTTTCAGGGTTGAATGAGTTAATATAAGCAATGAAGGCAGAGTGGGGTGGGAGTTACATGTTGATGTTATGATCAAAATCTTTAGTACATGAGCTATAGATTTATAATGTGTAAGTGATAATTGAATATGAGGGTGTCTTTTTCTTTAAACTGATTATGTGTGATGGTGTGTGTAATTGAACATTGACTGATTATGTGTGATGGTGTGTGTAATTGTATATTGACTGATTATGTGTGATTGTGTATGTAACCTATAATGTGTTAGGGTGTATGTAAAATGACGTGTGAGGGTGTATACAATTGTATGTATGTAATCAATTCATGAATGTTTATTAAACTGATATAAACTTAACAAGAATAAGTTATGTTTTGTTTCCCACTGGGACTGAATACTAGAGGTGAATATTTATCAATTATGGACTTCTGTTGAAGTAAATATGAGGTTATATGGACCTGAAAAGGGATATTGACTGAAACAATGTTTGATACTCATTGGTCAAAGTTAAAGGGTCAAATACAATGTATGGCACATGGACAACTTTGAAGTTGATATTTGTGTACACATGTCTCAAAAAATACTCTGTAACAGATATAATTTATACTGAATTTAATTCAAAGTATAAAGAAAGTATACAATTAAATTTAAGTTGTCATTGTTCAATATTTTAGGGTCAAAGTTCACACTAGAACATTTTTAACAAAAGTTCATTACATAATCACACCATAATATGCTAACATTGTCTTCTAAACCTGTTGGATATTTTAAGAGTGAGTTTGATATGCCGTCGCATGTCATCTGGTATCAACTTGTTTTTCTTTAGCAGACCCTCTCAGTAACCAATAGGCCTAGAGTCTTTATATTGGACTAATATATCATGTTGGAATGAAGGGCTACCAAGTTTTTTCAAATGACATAGTCTTGATTCAGACATACATACTTAATTGATAGTGTATAAGTATATAGATAGCGTATAAGTATATAGATAGTGTATAAGTATATAGATAGCGTATAAGTATATAGATAGTGTATAAGTATATAGATAGTGTATAAGTATAGGTGCACAATATGATTAGTCACTCAATGCAAAATAAAAGCCAAACAAAGAACTAAGTTTTACAGCACTAAAATTTTAAATTTCTAGTTTCCACATATTATTGAGGTGTTTTTTTTATGCCGCTAAGTCCTCTTAATACTTTCTCAAATTGACACCTTGCTCCCTTCTGAACAGTTGCTTATGGTCTGTAACGTATTCTTCTTGTTTACTAATTGATCCCAGTATGTCGACTGATGATCAGACAGTTTGTCCCTACTCCATAACATCTCAGTAAAACTATTTATAGGTGAAAACAATGTTAAACAATCAGCTTCCTAAGAATGGGTACTGACGACCTTAGTAGTCACTCCATCAAATTAGATATCGGTTCCACTGAATATTGGATCAAATTCCTTATTATTTTATACCTTGTACCTTCTTAATTGTAGTCACGTGATTTGCCTATTTTCAACATTTGAACTTTTCAATTCGCAGAATTATTTGCTGTAAAGTGTCTTTATCAATAGTGGTTTTACATTCAGTCAAGAAAAAAAGACAAAACGTTTTTGTCTACAATTATTATAGAATCTTTTGTAGGTTTTTGTTTGTTTGTTTATTTGGCGTTTGGCGTCAATGAGCGAAAATGAAATTCAGTCAAATATTACGTGTGCTATAAAACCAACAACTGAGCAAAACGTAAGATATTTGTTTAAGTATGGTAAACATCTTGATAATAATATATCGATGAATGTATGTTTTCATCTAAAAGTATACTTATTTTTTTCCCGTTTTCACATATGACTGTCATAAATATTTCACGTTTCGTGTTTTCTTAAGGTGACATTGCTTTTACACGTTTTCATCTGAATGTGTATCTAATTTTTCACGTTTTCATCTGAATGTGTCACTAGTTTTCCACGTTTTCATCTGAATTTGTAACTAGTTTTTCACGTTTTCATCTGAATGTGTCACTAGTTTTCACGTTTTCATCTGAATGTGCAATTAGTTTTTCACGTTTTCATCTGAATGTGTCACTAGTTTTTCACGTTTTCATCTGAATGTGTCACTAGTTTTTTTACCTTTTTTTTCTGAATGTGTCACTGTATTTTCACATTTTCATCTGAATCGCACTCGGGTTTTTTCACGTTTTCATGTGAATGTGTCACTAGTTTTTCATTTGAGGGTGTCATACATTTTCACGATTTATCTGAAGGAGACGTTAAGTTTCACGTTTTCATCTTTTTTTTCACTGTTGTGTTCAACGGTGTTAAGGTGAGTCACTGTCATTGCCATCGATCGATAACAGTTAAGCATACGAGTGCACATGTGCAGCCAGATGAGACGAAATACAAAAGCTTTACAGGCACAACAGAAGAACAATATATAGTCCTCATCAAACTGAAACTACCGAGCCAAAATAAAATAGAGATCAAACTGTATACAGCAAATCAATTTTGCAAGACAATTACAGTGCAGAAAAGTTCGATAGTTTTTAATTTTATTATCACATGGCCTTTCCGACTGGTATGTTTACTTTATAATTGTCACCGCGTGGAACATCGACCTAAAATATCGATGAACGTTTGCGCAATGTGTGTGGTTATTTTAGTTTTTGTTTATTCTTATTAGCAGGATTTCCTCTAACCTTTAAATTCAAAGACAACAATAAAAGGATCCACACACAATGGCATGCAAAGTTTCCGGATCTGCCACAGAACATTAAGGGTGTCCATGAAGTCTTTTATATAACGTTTTTTTTTTTAGTTCGTTTTTCTTAATTTTTAAAGGTTTAGTTATTTATGTACCACAGGGTACAATCCAAAGACTATCCTATATTAATATGTTTATATTCCGTACCAAGTCATATCAATATTCGGTGGTAAGTCATATAAATATTCGTATATAAGTCACATACAAGTCAATCACGAACAAATCATTGGCTGAGTCAAAGGTTCCATTATATTTCAAGAAGGCACATGTCAGACCATTGTTAAAGAAGCCTGGAATGGACAAGGAGGAGTTGAAGAACTACCGCCCAGTTTCAAATCTGCCTTTTCTGTCTAAGATCTTGGAAAAGGTTGTGTCCCGGCGTTTAGAGGTTCATCTCCGTGCAAACAATAGCCATGACAACATGCAATCGGCCTACCGCATGGGACACTCTACTGAGACGGCCCTCCTACGTGTACATAATGATATAGCTTCTGCATTGGATAACAAGTGCAGAGCGGTGCTTGTCATGCTGGACTTGTCAGCTGCATTGCTATGCCGATGACACACACATTTAAATGGTCATAAAACCACGGGACAGTTGGAATACAGTCTCAGAAAGTCTGGAAGCTTGTCTGACAGATATCAGTATCTGGATGAACGCCAACATGCTTAAGCTTAATCAGGAAAAGAATGGACCATCCTCAGTACCTACATGAGCGTGTTACCCTGTATCAGCCGTCACAATCACTGCGGTCGGAGTCAGAATCTTTGTTGCGTGTCCCAAAATCTCGTACTGTGACCTACGGAAACAGATGCTTTGGAAGGGTTTCGGCTACGTTGTGGAAAAGCTTACCATCTGCGATTAGAAAGTCAAATACCCTGACCAAGTTCAAGAGGGACATCAAAACTCACCTCTTCACGTCTGCATTTTAGAATCCTTGCAAAGACGTCATGTAAAAAAACACCCTTTTGTTTGTTCAATTATGTGCACATTGCTTGCTTAAATGTATAAAAGTGCATGAAATGAGTGGGTTTTTTTTTATTTATTTATCTTTTTTTTTTCTTTTTCTTTATTGTTGGTGGTTTTTTTCATTTTTTTTCATTTGGCGAAATGGTCACAGCCGGGATATGTCTGCAAAATATCTAATCATTGATGATGACGACTCTAGAATGGTTCTCAGTAAGGTGAGTCTTAATGAATTAAAGGCAGATCATCATTATGTTCGGAGATGAGTGATGTCTGCCTCGGTCTGGTAAACCAGTGATGTCTTCCTCGGTCTGGTAAACCAGTGATGTCTGCCTCGGTCTGGTAAACCAGTGCTGTTGCTATTGCTGTCAATGTTGTTGATGGCAATGAAAAGATAAACAGATGGACGGATTGAATAACATTTATTTTTACATTCCAACAAATGATATAAAATAGATGTTATCTCCTTTGATTTAAACATATTTTATTGCAAATAAATACTTACAAAAGAATTGGACACAGGTTTTCACAACTTATCACAGTCCTTTTCTTCAAACACATGAATGTAAACAATAACTTGATAAGTAAAATTACGTAATATATATAAATTATGTTTTTATATGGAAATGTTATCTCCATGGTGACACTGTGTTGTTTTCGTTTCATAAAATCAACACTATTTGAAGAAGAAAATAATAAGAAAAAGAAAACAAGACATCATCGAAAATGGGAAAGCTATTTTTAACATTGCGCCAAATGCTGTGGTTGACTCTACCTTGACCTTTCTAGCTGACATAAAGGTCACGTCGCAGGTGTCAATATAATTCAAAATTATTTTTCTTATTGTTTCTATAACTATTATTCAAGTCATGTTCCAATTTTCCGGCATATTGTACAAAACAGACTTTTTTTTCTTATTTTTGTTCATGACTTGTTTCTCTGGCTGTATTTATTCAAATAGAGGCTCAACTGTGGCAGTCTGTCTGACGAAGCAGCACAGGAGATTTCTACGTATCCAGTCTCTCTTGTTATTGGCTTTGGATGAACTCTTCTTTCCCCCGACTGAGGTGCTGGTGCTGCCACCTATTGGACATTGAAAATGACACATTTACGTCAAAAATATAAGTGTACTATCAAGAAAGGAAGTACAAAAACGGCTAGTTGGTCTGATAAAAAAATGTCTTAAATCAAAATTGAACTCGGGCCTTTCAATGCAAGAAAAAGGAAGTGCTAAGAAAAATCTGTATTACAAAAGGCAAGAGTGGACTTTTTGATTTTCCAATTGTATAGAAGTCAGTAGGAAAACATTCGGACCTTTCCAGAGGAGTTTATTTTTAATTTTTTTGCCGGAAAACGCCGAGTGGTTTGCCGATTGAATTTAATCAGTCGGAAAGACTCGAATATCTTTCCAATTAATTTTAATGAAGATGTCTTTTTCAAATGAGTGTCGAGTAAATAATATTCTCACCAGCTGTGGCGGCATTGATGCCCTTCGCCTCTTTCTTGTCTCTCTAAAACAAAACGTTAAAATGTAATAATTAAATGCATTCAAGTTACAAAGTAAGTAGACCTTTCGAGGAAATTTTTGTTACTCTGAACTATTTCATAAACAAAATAACAAAATTTAGATTTGAATTGATTACGAGTCCTTATTTT